CCAACCCTGATACTTGTCCCTGTGGTTGAACCATCTCAGATGGTCAGTGCAGGGGTGAGGAGTCTGGGAGTGGGGCAGGATCCTTCTCCTCGGCCAGTCCCATTCCTTCTCTTACCCGACTCCTTTTCTGCTCTTTCAGATGTGGGGACCATCAGTGAAGATGGAAGCAGAGTTCTCTGAGGAGGAAGGGTCTCCTTTGGAGGAAGGGCAGAGGGCTGAGGCCCAGGAAGGTGCCCAAGATGCCCTCTCAGGTGGTAAGGCTGTTTTGTGGCCAGATGGGATTGGGGCACACAGTGAAGTTGTTGGGTAGAAGGTTTAGGACAGGAGAAAGGAAAAACCCTTCTGTACACAATACAGAGTCAAGTTCTGTGATTCATTTCTGTAGCATGTCGTGATGGCCACTCCCTTGAAAGGAAATTAGAAGGATTCATAGAAGGCAGTTCCATTCTTATTCACATTTCTGTGTCACCTTCCTACCGTTAGTGGGACGAAAAGCATCTCCAAAGAGGAAAGGTAGATTCCCTCCTCAGGACACAGATATTAGCCATGGCAAATGCATGGAACCGCCATGTTCTGGGCCAGCATACCTCTGAAAATGTATTCCTGGTGGCCAACCATTGCCTTCTGTGCCCCCGATTGAAGTCTCTACAGGAGCATTCGGTGGGCCAAAGTCAGAAAAAAGATAATGGACTATAGATGCCAGGCTGTGATGCTTCGGGATGGTGCGTGGACTGGCTGTGATGTCAGAGTATCAGCAGACACTCTGGAAATCCATCAGTGTTACCCTGGAGTTTTCATATATGCTGAAGTCATGTTTTGGTTTTCAGAGTCCCTGGTGGTTTTCTTCTGCCTCTCCCACAATTTACTAAAAATCATTGCAAATTCTGTAGATTGTGTCTATGGCGAGGTTTCACAGTCCTAGGAAGGAGGGTGCACAAAGCAGGATTCAAATAAGCAAACTAAGGAATTTAGGGTAAGAATCTTCCTTCCTTCTCTATCTCCATCACAGGCAGTGGACAGGTGATATTCGGCTGTTGTCTTGGCGGAGGTGTGGAAACAGCTGCTGTTCCTCCAGTCCAGGTAGAGGAGATGAGTGGGAGACAGCCTGATTCCCCCCCCCCCATTTCATAGATGGGCTTTTGCTCCTGCAGTTGCTGCTAAGATGA